AAATTAACATGAGCTCAAATTTTTAAATGAAGCAGCTTCAGGTACTTTAATCAATTATTAAAAACATAGATTAGGGCCAGGGGTTTAGCTCAGTGGTTCCACTGCCTGCCTCAAAAGGACAAGGTCCCAAGTTCAATCCCCAGTAACAAAAGAAAACAAAAAATATAGACTAGCGGACAGATAAAACATGTGTAACACAAAACAATTACATTATTTAGATGCATTAACCCTGCTGAATTACAGTCATCTGAAGTTTTCTTTGTTTTAGGTTTATAACTATAAATAGACTAGTCAGAATTTTCCCAAGGAGGTATCAATTGCCACTTCTTTTTTTTCTTAAGTCATAACAGTATTTCCTTCAACAATCTAAGCTATGCTGAGTACTTTAATTTTTTCTGTTACATAATACTACACAGTTACAACAACCAATAAGACTCTGAAGAGGGGGGAGAAAAAAGAGCTATAAATTGTTAAATGGGATCTTTGTTTATTTTCTTTCCTAATTATAAAACTAAGTTTGAGGCCATATCTTTTTGCTCTCTAACTTATACTTGGAAAAATATAGAGAAGATCCAATACATTTTAAATCTTATTTCAAATCCATCCTAAGTTTATAAAATATAATCTGAAGGTAATGTTTTTTAGGGTTAGACATTGGGTACCCATAAGCATTTAAAATGCACTACATGCCTTTTAAGATTTTCCTTGTTAGCTGGGTATGGTGGTGCATGCCTGTAATCCCAGCACTTGGGAGGCTGAGGCAGGAGGATCGCTGTGAGTTTGAGACCAGCCTGGGCTACATAGTGAGTGCCAGGTCAGTCGCAACTACATAGTGAGACCCTGTCTCAAAAAAAAAAAAAAAAAAGATTTTTCTTGTTAGCTGGGGATTTAGCTCAATGGCTCCATGTCTGCCTCGTAAGTGCAAGGACCAGAGTTCAATCCCCAGTATCATCAAAAAAGAAAAAGAAAAAGAAAAACAAAGAAACAATCCCAGGGTTAGATTCTCCAAGTGCCAGCCTGCCCTGTAACTGCCCAGGGAAGCAGTTCTGCTTTGCTTCTTGCCACAACTAGGCCAGGTGCCGCTGGCAATCATGCAGAAATCTGTCACTGTCATGATCAGGACAAGTGTCCTCATTCTGGCACACAGCTACACTAATCTCCATTAACAGATCAGAAAAGACAAAAAGAGGAAGACACACACAACAGCTGGGCTTTACTTTAAAAATCACCTCAAAGATCCTTTTAGCTAGTGTCTTAGTTACTTTCTAATAGCTGAGACACAATACGCAACACCCACAACTTTGAGGAAGAAAGGTTTTATTTGGCCTCAGTTTGTAGAGGTTTCAGTCCTACTTGGCTGATTCCCAGGTAGAGTGGCATGGAAGAGGGACAGGGCAGAGGAGAATTGCTCAAGGCATGCCTTCTGGCTCTCTCCATGAGATCTCATCCACTGAGTAAGTCTTTGCAACAGAGTGCAGCAGGTAGGAGCTGAGGAGGGATATGGGAAATTGAATTTTCCAAAGTATTGTCATTTATAGCTCTAGAAATTGCAGGTCTATGACGCTTACTTGCAAATACAGTTAGCTACATATAAGAGCTTGTTTAGAATAACTACAGACAGGGCTACCATTTCCAGGCTGTTTGCTATTGTGTCAGTGCGCTATTGACTTGGCAGATAATCTTAGATCATCTAATTTTACACATTGTGTTTATACACATGAGAAGAGCTGCTTACCCAAGATCACAGAGTAGTAGAATCCAGATTCAGACCTGAGCAGCCTGACTCCAGAGGCTTGCTCATACTTTTACCACACCTATCCTCCAAGTGCATTCTGGAATCCACTAGAACAATCCAGTGTACCGAAGGTGCGTCATTGCTCAGGATGCTTTGTGAGCCTCAGCATGTGTGTGCACATTAGAGTACAAAAGATATCATGGAAGACCCTGGAGGAAATCTCCTTGGAGCCTACAACCCTCTCCCAGGCCTACCCCACAGAGTCACTTCCACCCACCTGTAATGTTGGCTTGCCTTCTCAGGGGAGCAAATTGCACTTTCTTTAGCAAGTAATGGCAAGGGTGTTGTGTCACTAACAAGGAGGGTGACATTTTTCCCTATCATTTAAAATCCTCTTATTGGAAATCACCTTCGGTTTCCAGGTTATGGTTGCATGTTATTACAAATAAAGCATTAACTCGCGTCCCAAACCTTGTGTAAGAATGTTCTGACTGGGTGTCCAAGGACCCTTAACATCTCCCCAGGAATGAAACCACCAGAGTGGGTGGTCAGCCCAGGGTGCTGGCTGGGGCTGAGAGAGTTTGCAGGGTCCACCCCACCCAAGCTGCTGCCCCAGCTCCATCCACAGGAAGAGGCTGAGGTGGAGCGGTCCAGGAGAGCCCTGTGCTCAGCTTGGCTCATCCAGATGTTATTTCCACTGCCAATAATAGGATGTTTAATTCCACCCAATGAGATGCAATCCTTCTTTAACAATCCCTAGGACGAAGAGTAGCATAACCACAGCAAAGAATGTAGACAAGGAGGGGAAATATTTAGGAATACTTCTTCCTTGCCTTTTTTTTTTTTTAAACGTAGTTACATGCATATCTTTAGAGTAGATATACTATATCTGTTAGGGCCCTGACGCCCCCATTACAGGCCACATTTCCGGGTTCTTCATGCCTCCCTGCCACGATTTTAAATTTCCTTTTCCCAAAGCCGCCACAGTTTAGAGGAATGAAATTTAGCTTCCGGCAAGGCCAAGTCCTTAAAAGGCAACATGGCTTGCGATAGGTTAAAAGTAGCCCGACTGCTTGCAGATTTGCAATAGCCCAGCCCAAAACCAATAAAAGGACCATCCTTTCTTTGTTCTCTCTCTCTTTCCCTCTCTCTGATCTGCTCTCCTAAATAAAGTCTCCCGAACAAAGTCTCCTGTCGGAACTCTGGGTGTGTGGCCTTGTTGTTGAGCATCCCTGTTCCTCTTCAATGTCTGACTGTTCCTGTTGCTGGATATGGTCTATTGCCCTATATGAATTAAAAAGTATTGTGATTAACCCACCTTCATTTTCGTGATTATTGGCCTGGCATAAATTCTAGGAAATAAAATTGCCGGGTCAAAGGCCATGAATTCATAGTTGCTATTTCCCAGACCACTTCCCACATGATTGTAGAAATTCATACTGCTTCCAGGAGTGCCAAGAGCACCGATTTTATTTCCCCTTTTTACTATCATTTGGTATTATTCTCTAGTTTTTGTTTTATTTTCCTTAACATGTGCAAAGCAGAACCCTGTTCCTTTCAGCTGAATTAACAGTGAGCTATTATTATTCTATATGTTGGTCACCAGCTGCGTTTTCTCTTTTGTGAATTATTCCCTTTGCCCTCTGATTCATTGCTATTTTTAAAAATATGTTTCATTAATTCTTTATGTACTCTCTGTGTGCGTAGTAAATAAATTCCATATATTTGGTACCAGGGTAAAATCTGTTAATCATTCCCCATTCTGGTGATGAGGATAATCAAGGTAGAGGTGATTTCATTCGTTCACTAAGCATTTGAGACCTTATCATCAGATTCAGGGGCTAGGAAGAGGCAAAACTGACTAAGGGGCCCATGAAGAGGTAACGGCCTAATATGACAAAAATCCCCTCAAGGACAGGGTTACAACGCCCTCGCAAACGTTGCCTTCACTTTGTGGCAAAAATCATACTTTTGGACTCTAGCGCGAGGCCCCGCCCCCACCCGAGCCCCGCCCTTCCATTCA